ATAAGCTGCCCCAGTCCTCTGAGCTGTTGGGAGAGAAAGAAAAATGCCCAGGACACAAAATCCTCTGCTTCTGGAAGAGAGAGGGAGAGGCCGAGCTGGGGGAGAAGAATCCCGAACAGACCCACCTCAATAGCACCTCCCAGGAAGCAGGAGGCAGAGGGTCAATGGATCTCACTTGTAAAGACTTTCAGATGTGACAATGAATTTAATATTTAAACCATAAAGTATTTACCATAAAAGACTGAACTTGTTTTTGTAAATGAATATTAATCTAGGCTTTTAACAAAATTACTAATAAAAAATGAGTGAATGAATTTAAAAAAAGAAAAAGAAATTGAAATGACAGAATGGAAGAAAATATTTGCAAATCATACATGGGATATGGGTCTCATCCTAGAATATATAAAAAAAACAGGTACAAATGTGCAACCAAAGAATATGCAATGTTTAAAAGAGAACAAGGAGCTGGGCACAGTCCTGGGCATCTGTAACCCCAGGCATCTAAGACATGAGATTGGCAAGTTTGAAGCCAGCCAGGCAACTATCTCAAAGTGAAAATAAATAAATATAAAAGGGCTGGGGGTGTAGCTCAGAGCTGCAGAACTCCTCAGATCAATCCCTTATTGAAAAGGATGGGGTGGTCAAAGGGCTTGGATAGCACATCTCCAGAGATGTTCCAGTGGCCAATAAACACATGACAAGATGCTCAGTGTCATGAGTCACTATAGAAACAAATCAATGACTCCACACCTTCCTACATTAGCCCAGGGACTCTGAAGCGCTGTGGAGAACACTTGGGCACTTCCTGCCAGAGCCAGGCAGAAGCTCATCTACCCAGCACCCCTATGGCTGGGCACGTGCCAAGAGTGGAAACCACCCAAGTGTCCATCAACAGAGGAATACATAAATAAACATGACTTACAAATATATATGTTGGATTATTAATCATCCACAAAAAATACTACAACCTAATTAAACTGAAAACATGATTAAACAAGAAGCAAAATGGTATGTGGTTGTATAATTTCATTTATATGAAATATCTGGAATAGGCAAATTCATAGAGACAGGAAATAGATTCACGTTTACCTGGGGCTTGGGGGTCCTGTGACGTGATTGTATAATGGTTAGAGTTTTAGTGCAGCTGATGAGAAGATTCTGGAAATAGTAGCAGTCGTTGTATATTTGACTGGAATCATGGCATGTATTTGTATAGTTAAAAATGTTAATAGAGCACATTTTTGTTATAAATATTGCACAACGAAAAGTCTTTAGGGAAGATGTATAAAATATACCCACTCTGCTTAGATTGTGTGTGTGTGTGTGTGTGTGTGTGTGTGTGTGGGTTTGTGAGAAAGAGAGAGAGAGAGAGAGAGAGAGAGAGAGAGAGAGAGATATGAGGGACGACTAGGGATTGGTCCCAGGGCACTCTATCATTGAACTACATTTCATTTTTTATTTTGAGACAAGGTCTCACTAAGTTGCCCTGGACTGGACTCAACTTGTGATCCTCCTGCCTTGGCCTCCTGAACAGCTGGGATGAGAGGTTGTGTCATGCGTCTGGCCAGATAATCTCCATAATACTCATCCAACAACCCCACAGGCCCTTTGGACTAAGATCCAAGGATTTAAAGACAAAAAACAAACCATCCAACTTCAGACCCAGCTCACAAAACCAGTGTTTACACCCTAAAGCATCAAGAGACACTTCCGGAGGCCCTTCCTTTGAAGCCTCAGGAACAAATAGTCCCTCCTGAGGCTGCCCATCCCCTGCATGCACAGTGCTCCTACTCTGGAGCAGGAGTCCCCAGGACAGATCCCATCTTTTCCCTAGACTCATCCTGCCCTGGACAGAGTCAGGCAGCCTGGGGACACTCAGTGAACAGAACCCACCCTGCAGCCTGTAGGTCAAGGCCACCTGGGCCCAGGGTCAGGGCCAGCTCTCACCATTTGGACCCTGGACAGTATCCCTACTAGAGTCCCTGATACTGGCCACAGGTCTCCTCATGACCTGCAGGGGGCGGCATGGGACTCACAGTCAACACTTGGCAGATTGATCCTGACACTTGGACTAGGCTTTCCAGGAGGTGGAAATGTGGCCTGATTTCCATCCCCAACACACTGCAGGGTGTCTCCCATGAACCTACTCAGCTCCCACCCCGACTCCTTCCTGGGCCTCGAGGACCCTGTGCTTCCAGGGGTTTCTGAGTTGGCCCTGTCTCCTGGCATCACCCCTGGAAAAAGGCACAGTGACCACAGGAGAATCACTAGGTAGAGGACAGAAGCCACCCAAGGAAGGCATGGGCAGGCCTGAGTCACAGCTCTGTCAAAAAAAATGGAGAGGGAGGGTCTCCCTAAAACACCCTGAGGACCATGGAGCCCACAGTCACCTACCTCCACTACCACAGTCCTCCCCTCCCAGAGCCGAAAGCTTATGAAGTCCTGAGATAGCCACTCAGAGGCCACCTGGAGACACCAGGACAGAGAGCAGGTCCCCTCGCCAGCCATCTCTCACTGGGCCCCTTTCTAGAACCCAGGGCTCTCTGTCCCCTTCCTGCTGGGAGGAAAGCCACCTTCCTAGAGCATTTGAGAACATGGGGAAGAAAGAGGGTAACATGGGATTCTCTGTCATAAAGGAAACATGCCCAGGGTGAGGGGACCCCAGGGCTTCCCTGGGTGGTGCTGAGAGCCCTGAGGCCAGGACACAGCTGAGGCCAGTGCTGGGTGAGCCACTTCTCTCAGGGGACAGC